AACAAGGCAGGCAGTTAGAGGCAGGCATTGGGTCTCTGCATTCCTGCACATCCCACAGAATGTGACCGCCCAAGGGGACCTCCCCTCTCCACCCAAAACTTCTTTTCATTGTAACTATCTACCCCTACAGGGAAACAAACGGGTACAAAATACCTGACTGGATTAGACCAGTCACTTACACCTGCACAGTAAAGGTCATAATGACCTCCATTTCACCTGGGCCTCTGTGAAGGAACATGCAGCAGTCTAATGAGATGAAATAATAGCCTGTTGTCAATCACAGGTGCCAATCAAGTGGTCCCACTTCCAGAGGGCAACAGCCCATTCTAGAGAAAAGGAATAAAAACTCCAAGTCCTGGAAAGTCCATCTCCTTTTAGACCGCCTCTTCCTGGTTTTGATCCCTTTCTTCCCTTTGAGACTTTCTTTTGAGCCTTGCCTTTGTGCATGGCCTGCTCCAAACTCTTTGGAATGTATTTCTCTTCTAATAATGGACCCTTGAGCTATTCTCTACTGTTTGGGCCTACTTCTATTTCTTTAAAGTGTACTATCTCTTCTAATAAACTACTTTTTCACTACTTTGCTCCAGTATCTTGTTCAATTTTTTGCTCGAGAAACAAAGAACCTGGGAACCGCACTCTCCGACAACACCTATGCTCCTTAGATTTCTATAATTTGGACGCCTGTGAGGTTAAGAAGGAGGAGACCCCTTCTTAACATTGCCCCTTCTCCCAACACCCCTAGGCTCAACAGTTTCTTGGTTCTCATTTCCTGGCCGAAGTTAGACCCTTAAGTATGTGCAGAGCACCCTCCTAGGTATAAGTGCCTGGCAAAAGTCCAGCAGATACTGACCAGAGAGAGAGCAGAACCTGGCCCTGATAGAGGTTGAGAATAAAACATGGAATATTAACCCCCCTCTGCTACCCCCACCACCCTTCCCCTTGGAACTAGGACACCGGAACACCCTATTAGCTTCCTTGATGGTGTGGGTTTGTTCTGGAGACATTTCCCAAGATTGGGGCTGCTTCTGTTTTTAAACGTAGTAGTATATTTCCATAGTAACAGCTCCTGCCTATGTAGTATGTGTAGAGGGAGTGGTAATGAGGGAGATAGCAGTGTAGCACTGGGGACCTGTAGCCAGAGGACTCTGCCATCCAAATATCCGATATCCCAAAAAGCACCCAAAAACTGATGTTATAGATACACCTTTCCCTAAGTTTAAGAGAGTGGATTCCATCCCTATTGTCATTGCTTTCTGGAGGCAGGGGAAGGAAAATCCTACAAAAGAATTCAAAGGAATCGCCATTCCCCAAGAGGTCCTTCTTCTCCATATACATATGGCAAGGTCTTTGGCACACAAGTGCTTTCCTTAGAGAGGTACACAGGGAATGTGTTAGATATCTCTCTCCCAAATCCAGTAGGTAGTCTGAGGAATGAATACCTGGGAGTAAGAAATGTCCTTTGAAGTGTGGAGTTGCAGAGCTAGGCAGAACTTGGCAGGTCAGCATCAAGGAGGCGGTGGGTGGTGGGGAAGCCTGAGGCATCTCTGGGTTTCACTGTAAGGAATGATGGCAGGAGGCAGCGGGGAGGGTAACCTTGCTATGGCCCTGTCCATGCATTATCACTAGTCTCTAAAAACAATGGAAGACTCCTAGAGTGTAGGTTTCTAATCTTGAGGGGGAGGAGACATGAAATGTAGGGAGGAGAGAAATCAGGGCCAGAACCTAGGGGCAGGAGGAAGCTGTCAGTGGGCAGAGCAAGCAGCTAGGGCTAGGGGAGCAGGTTCCACAGGAAGTTGTCCAGATGCAAAGTTTCACTGTGAGGACCCTCTTCCCCCAAGAACCCTTCTTCAGGAAGCCCCTCCAGCCTCCCAAGGGTCTCAGCTCTCCGAATTCTTAGATTTTCTTCCTTAACTCCACGGAGCAGTTGGTCCTCCGCTGCCAGATAATGCTTCACAATTCTGTCTTCCATGAGTCTCCCTAGTTAGTCCTCCTACTCTTCCTTTCACTTGTTGCTTAGACTTGTAGCACTTATTTCATTCTGCCTTATAGTCTAGTTCAGGAGTCGGCAAACTTTTGAGATGGAAGAGCTGGCTAGTTGGTTGTTTATATGTCTGCTTTTCCCATTCACCAGGAAGCTGCTTAAGAGTGGGGACCCTGCCTTACTCATCCCTCTTTCCTCATATTAAACCAAGGTGCTTTAATATACTAAAGTAGACTCCTTGAGGGCAACAACTGCATTTATATCACTTTGTGTCCCCACAATACTTAAAAGAGTTTCCCATTCACACAGTAGGGATTAGCAAATTCTTTGTAATTTTTAGAGGTCTAACAGAAAATATTCCAATATTCATGTAGACACTAAAAATTTCTATATTGTTTTTATCTTTCGAAAACTCAGTTCATGTCATCCCAGTGGAATGGGAGATCTGGGGTTTGCTTTCAGCTAACAGCTTCTGCTAAACTGATAGGTGAGAGACAAAAGGAAAAGGAAAAAGAGTAACTCAGCTGCCTGGAAAGAGCCACAGATCTATCTGGTCCTACAAGTGTCATAGGCCCCAGATTATCCAAAGCTGCCTCATGGACTTTTTAGGCACTGTGAAACATCTTTTGGGACAGGCTTTGTCAGGCAATCAGACTTAATAGTAGATTGGCCTTGTTCACTGGGAGGTACTCAGGGCTTCCTAATAAGAGGCTCGAGGTGAGCATCTCAAACATTGCTCAGCCCAAGAAACCAGCCAAAGCCATTGACAACTCACTTGATCGGTGAATCCTAGAACTAGCTTTAGCTTTCAGGCAAATGCTTTAAGCTCTTATCAAGAAAGGCACAGAATTTCAAGTGTGGCCTAGTCATGTGTTTGTTTGTTTCTCCTGATTAGTTTGATAATCAATTGGGCAGTTACCATTTTGGGGACAAAAATATTCAGAGTATGGCCGGCTGAGTGGTGTGTTGGTTAAGAGTTGGCTTGGGATGCCAGCTCTGATCAGCAGGGCCCCGGTTCGGATCCCACATGCAGGCCAGTGATGCTGAGCCCTATACAGCTAAGATGGTGAACAACAGCTTAACCTGGAGCTGGGCTGCCATGAGCTACCCTGAGCAGCTGGCAGCCAGCATGAGCGGGCAGCAGCTAGCGTGAGCTGCCGTGAGCCAACGTGAGCGGTTGTCCAATGGCCGGCGCGTGACTGCCTCACCCGGGAAGAGCACAATGATAATACCAACATGGGCCAGTGAAGTGATGTCCTCCACAACTAGACTGAGAAACAAAAGGACAACTTTTCTGTTTCCCTTCCCTGAGTCCCCAATAACATCTTTAAAAAAAAAATTCAGATTATATGACAAGTATCCAAGTAACTATGTTTTGATGGTAACATGTATACTAGATGAATCCCTAGTGTATTGTCTTTGAACAAGTACCCCTACCCTCTTCTAGTAGAGGTTGCAAGGGAGGGATAATGATCTCTGGAAAAGAAAGAGACCCAAGTTCCCAATGTGAGGCTGGTAAGAAAGATTTATTAGGATTGACCTCCTAATAGAAAAGGAAATAGATACAGACTGTCCTTCAGACCTCCAGGGAGTCTCAGCCTGCTCCTGATCAACAAGATAACTGAATGCTGCCTCCTTGGGGGCTCCTATAAGCTCATCCTTCCACCTGCTCCTGGCATCTCACTTGCCCTGTTTTGAAGGCCCCTTCCACCCTTGTCACTTACTGAAATCTTTGAAGATGCTCCACTTCCTCAAGGTCCTATCACTTCCCTTGGTCACAATTAATTGCTCTCTCCATGTGCTTCTACTGCCCTGTACCTCTTTCAGACCTAGACTCATTACGTATGATGATGCCTTGTATACAGATATCTGTGTATCCTTAGTCACATGGGAATAACCCTGTGGAACAGAAAACACTTTCTTTCCTCTAGGGAGTTTCCAGTCTAAGAGGCATGGATGCACACATGCATGCACACATGCAGAAAAACAATACTAGTGGGATAAGTACTGAAAATTTGGTGGAATACTATCAAGCAAATTACTGGGATTACTTCATAAAGTATATTTTATACATATATGGTTTTCCATTGTTAGAGTGGCCTTCAAGTAGAAGAGACATTTCACACCTGGTTTTGAAAGACAGGAGGGACTATCTTTGGCCTAAAAAAGAGTCAATCTGACTCTTATTCCTAGAGCAAGTCACACTCGAAAGAGTGGACCAAGTGCCAGGATACTTGAGTCCGTCTTCGGAACTCCGTGGTGATTTCCTCTCTGAGGAATAGAAATTATTTACCACCTAAGAGCCTGTGAGTGAATTAAAGAGAATGAAGATTCTGGTGAACTGTTATTTGCAGCAAGGAAACGGGTGCCAAATAAAAGGCACAGTGACCTGGAGGAAGAGATGGGATTGGGAGCTCCTCAGTCTTACAGGAGGCCACTTGTGGGTCTGGTTCTCCTGCTTCCTTAGCTTTTTCCAACGCCTCAGCCTCACCTCCTCGGTTTGGGAGCTTGGCACAAAGCAGTGATCCAGGACCAAGAAAAGTCAAGTACCAGGTTAATTCCAAGACCTGAAGGCACTCCCAGCTCCTTTATTAATGAGGTGCCCCGCGGGGTTGCCCGGCAACTAACTGCTACTGCGGGGGCAGAAGGTAAGTGGGATGATTGAGGAAAAGTACCAGGATGAAGGACAAGAAAAACACGGAGTAGGAGGGGCTTTTTAAGTGTCTACGCTTTAGAATTTACATCATCTTCCAAATTGTGGCTGCGTTTCCGGGAACTGAGTTGTATTTACCTTGGCTTCCGACTACGTTGGGAACACATTTTCTTTAGGGAGCTGGCGCTGCTCTACTTCCTAGTCCCTCCTACCCTCTCCTCCCTCCCCCCCATTTGCTTCCAGTAGTGGTTTCCCCGGCTCCAGAGGCAGCCCAGAGTAAACTCAAGGTACTGGCCCTTTAAACATGACCGGCGGAGGCCGTCGGAGCTAAAACTGACGTGGAAACGAGTAAGCGGCGCCAGATGCATGATAGAAGGGGGCGTTCATTTTGGAACCGGGCAAGAAGTTTTTCTGCTTTGGGGTATACAACTTGAATATGATGATAGGAAAGTATACGCTTTTGCCTTTAATTGCTTTTCCTATACCCTCGTGATGACTCAACTCTCGAATGAAAGATGTAGTTTAAAAAAAAAGAACACTGTCCCACGCTTCTGCCCATATTAAAAATGGCCGTCTCCGCTTTTCACAACGATAGTTGCTCTGAGAACAAGATCCAGGCGGAAACAGTGGGTAGGTAAATGCAGTGGGGCGGAGCCGAGGTTTCTCTATGTGCTTGCGGGAGCCGGGAGAGCGGCTCAAGTCGGAGTTGTTGGGTTTTGCTCAGGCTGGTGTGTGGGGCGGCCACTCCTTACTGCGGCGGGCTCAGGGTTTTTGCCCTTCTTGCGCTGTGCAGGCGGAGGGGCCCTCCTGGCCAGTCACCATGTGGGCCTTCCCGGAGTTGCCAATGCCGCTGCTGGTGAATTTGATCGGTTCGCTGCTGGGATTTGTGGCCACACTCATCCTCATCCCTGCCTTCCGTGGCCACTTCATCGCCGCGCACCTCTGTGGCCAGGATCTCAACAAATCCGGCCGGCAGCAGATGTGAGCGGTGGCACACGGATCCCGGGCAGGGGACAAGGGCTGGGGCTGGGACTGGGGTGCTTGACTGCTCTTGTAGATGCAGCACCAATCCATCAGACAGCCCCTTGGGAGGTGAAGGGCAGAACTAGTTAGCATTGGGGTAGGGGTGGGCGGGAGAGGGGCAATTCTCGGGTATATCAGGGATTCCAGCAGTGGTGCCCTCCCCCCACCCCAAATTATGTTACTATTGATATAATGCTTGCACTAGTGCGTGACCATGTCCCCTTTCCTCTTTCCCCTCCACCTCCCTTGCTGCTGGGCCACAGCCCAGAGTCCCAGGGAGTTATCAGCGGTGCTGTTTTCCTAATCATCCTCTTCTGCTTCATCCCTTTCCCTTTCCTGAACTGCTTTGTGGAGGAGCAATGTAAAGCCTTCCCCCACCATGAAGTAAGTAGGCTTGTGGGGGCGGTTGCCTGTGTCTGGGGACGCTGGAGCTACCTGAGATAGTTAGGGTTATTTGGGTTTGGCGGGAGGGGGCTGAGGAGGGAATGAAAAGACAGAAATCCTGGAAAGGAATGGTTAAGTGGGCTTAGGCTTGAGCCATGACTTTCCCGAGCCTCCCCCAGTTTGTGGCCCTGATAGGTGCACTCCTTGCCATCTGCTGCATGATTTTCCTGGGCTTCGCGGATGATGTACTGAATCTACGCTGGCGCCATAAACTGCTGCTGCCCACAGCTGCCTCACTACCACTCCTCATGGTCTATTTCACCAACTTTGGCAACACGACCATTGTGGTACCCAAGCCCTTCCGTCCGATTGTTGGCTTGCATTTGGATTTGGGTGAGTAGTCCTGCTACTACTGCCTCTATGACCCTTACTTCAGGGTCCCTGTACCCCTTGAGATATCCAGCAAAATATCCTTCCTGGCGCTCCATATTCTCCTCCGTGTCCCTGTTTTGTCCCTGTGTCTTCTCAGATCTTTTCTCTTGGCCCTTCATCCTATCCTCTGTCCTCACTACTTTTTTCAGAAGAATATCCTTAAATCCTTGTTCTGTAGGTGGTAGTACTTTTCTTACTGTCTTTTCTCCTCAGGGATCCTGTACTATGTCTACATGGGGTTGCTGGCAGTGTTCTGTACCAACGCCATCAATATCCTAGCAGGAATTAATGGCCTAGAGGCTGGCCAGTCACTAGTAATTTCTGCTTCCATCATCATCTTCAACCTGGTAGAGCTGGAAGGTAGGTGGGATTGGGGGTAGGGAGAGAGAGAAGTCTGAGTGTCAAGCGAGTTGTCTGATATCTGGCTTTGGGAAATTCAGAAAAACAATATGTTAATAACTATAGAAGATGAAGGAAAGTATTTACTTTGCAAATAACAAGTAAGATTTATTAAATGTGAGAAAGAAAAACAGCAACCCTGTCATTTATAGCTAGATTGGCACTAATGGGTAGGCCATGATCTTCTCCTATCAAACATGAACAATTTCATAGAACCCCCAACCTCTGTGACCATGATAGAGTAAGACGAAAACCAGATCCCTCCATAACTTTGAGCATAAACAAAACCACAAGAACACAGGGCATCCCACAAAAATGATCAAGATCCCCCTCTTCTGGCTAACATGAGTGATTGCTGCTTCCTTCTAACAACTCAGTTCCTCCAGCTTCTTAGATAAAAATTAAGATGCTCAATATAGAATTACCCCTGTTGACAGCATTCAGTCCAGGACAAAACACTGCCTCCTTGTATCCTCCTCAGAATTACTTAAAACAAATCCTATAACAGGTCCTCCTAACACACCCTTATGAGGCATGCCATGGTTCTACATGTTATGTGGTTTCCAGTCTCCCTTGTTACAAGTCAGTAAACCCAGCTTCGATTACAGATGTGTTTCTAGTGGTTTTGACTGATGGACATCAGTAAGTGTTTATTTATTTATTTAAAGATTTTTTGGGGGGAATTGGGGGATGGGGACAGTGCTGGGGAATTGGGGGAAGGGGAACAGACAAGTTGCTGTCCTTTTGTTCTTCAGTCTAGTTGTGGAAGACGTTGCTTCATTGGCCCAAGTTGGGCACCATCATTGCATTCTTCCCGGGCGAGGCAGATCAGTCGCCAGCTTCTGGACAGCCTCTGATGGTGGCTGCTGGCCGCTCACGCTGGCTGCTGGCTACACACGTTAGCCCATGGCAACCCACTGCAGCAGGGGCTGCAGCCTACACCGTGGCTGGTGACTCACGGCAGCCCAGCTCCAGGTTGAGCTGTTGTTCAGCATCTTAGCTGTAGAGGGCAGTGTCACTGGCCCTCATATGTAGGATCCGAACCAGGGCCCTCTGGCATCCCAAGCCAGCTCTTAACCAATGTGCCACTTGGCCAGCAATAAGTGTTTATTAAAGCTAAGTACTTTTCAAACATCTCATTTAAACTTTGTAACAGTTCTATGTGGCAGATGTTATCAACTGTATTTTACAGATGAGGAAATCAAAGCTTAGAGAAGTAATGTGTCATGATCAAGTTCACACTGGGAGTAAAGCTTGTATTCAAACTTGGGTCTGAACAGTGTAAACCAGATTAAGACAATAACTCGTTTAGAAAGGGTTCATGAAAGAGAATGTTGAGAGTTGCTTGGGTAACATAAAAGGGGTTGTGAGTTCTTGAAAGTGATTTGGGAGAGGTGGACAGTACAGCTTGGGACAGAACTTACAGGCAGACAAAAGTAACACCAGGGTATGCAGAGGAATTGGCTATCAATTTTTCCTTCTTTTTTCCTTGCTTCCAAAGGTGATTGTCGGGATGATCATGTCTTTTCCCTCTACTTCATGATACCCTTTTTTTTCACCACCTTGGGATTGCTCTACCATAACTGGTAAGTTGGCCTGTGGATAGGGAGACAACTATTTGAACATTTGGCAAGTATGGTCCTGATCATGACCCATCTCCTGATGGAGAGGCTAAACCTATGCATACCCATGTTAAGTGTTTTCTGGGTCTTTAGTTGGTAGCATTCTTAAATTGCTCTCTACCCAGCAGTGGTTGGTGACAAGTGCTGTGGAGCCCCAACAATAGATGAATTCAGGACCTTGGGTTCTGGAGAGTTGCTGGAAAAGCTAATTGGAGTCTCCTGAGTCAGAACTAGGGTCAGGGCTAGCCCAGTGCCCAGGGTGTGTTACGTGAGAGAAAGATTTGGTAATGTCTCTTGCCACTGGCTCAGATTTTCTCCCCCACACAGGTACCCATCACGGGTGTTTGTGGGAGATACCTTCTGTTACTTTGCTGGCATGACCTTTGCCGTGGTGGGCATCTTGGGACACTTCAGCAAGACCATGCTACTCTTCTTCATGCCCCAAGTCTTCAACTTCCTCTACTCACTGCCTCAACTCCTGCATATCATTCCCTGTCCTCGCCACCGTGTGCCCAGGTAGCTGCTTTGGGGTTTGAAAGGGACATTATAGCTTTTTCACTTGAGATTCATAACGCCCGCCTTATACATTTGCTGTGCAAAGGGAGGGCCCAAAAGGCTGTTTCCATGTGGTTAGCCATTTATAAATTACAGAGCACATTTACTTACATAATCTCGTTTAATGTTCACAGCAACTTTGATCACACAATAGTAAACAGCAGAGCCAGAAATAGACCTCCAGTTGTTTGACTCCACATTCAGTGCTCTTCCTATTAAATAACCACACTGAGGAGAGTTCTTTAGTGGCCTAGTCACATAAAACTCTCTTGCCCCTGCAGACTCAATACCAACACAGGCAAACTGGAGATGAGCTATTCCAAGTTCAAGACCAAGAGCCTGTCTTTCTTGGGCACCTTTATTCTAAAGGTAACAGGGGAACAAGGAGGTAAGGCTTTAGGCCACCATCCTAAATTCAGGGAACGGGGAACCTAGGCCTGCATCAGATCCAAAGGGAGTTTGGAAGCATTAAGCAAATCCCCATTCCTGAAGCATAGATATTAGCTGAAGTTCTCTTCACTTCCCGCCCTTCCAGGTAGCAGGAAGCCTCCAGCTAGTGACAGTGCGCCAGAGTGAGAATGACGATGGTGCCTTCACCGAGTGTAACAACATGACCCTCATCAACTTGCTACTTAAAGTCTTTGGGCCCATGCACGAGAGAAACCTCACACTGCTCCTGCTGCTGCTACAGGTGTGGTTGGGGATGGGGTTTATACCTCCTTGTCTCCCTTTCTCCATGATTCTTACTCTAGACCATTTTTCCTTGCAGATCCTGGGAAGTGCTATCACATTCTCCATTCGGTATCAGCTTGTCCGACTCTTCTATGATGTCTGAGTCCCCGGATCATTTCCCTTTACTCCAGGGTTCCTGACTCAGGACGACCTCATTCTAGACCAAGACTGCCTCTTGGCTCAGGCCTCTCCCACCTTTCATTCTCCTCAGCATTTCCCTTCCCCCGTGTTTATTGACATACTGGGCTTTTCTTGCCCTCTAATGACTATTGATTGGACTTTGCCTACGGTTTTCTTCAACCTGCCACTCTCCCTATTCATTCCATCTTTGTAGCCCCCTAAGGTGGGATGCGGCATCTGTTATGCAGTTTTCCACAACTCTGACTTTCAAGGAATATGCTGGGTCTGGAATAATATAACCCTGGCTGGTGATAGGGACACAGGCTCAAAGATGACTTGACATTTCACTATAAATTAAGTATTCTAATTAGTAAAAGAAGACAGGGTTGGGGGGCACAGGTGCTCCCAGTAGTGACAATAAAGTGTTGTCTTTTTCTTGTTGTTCCTGTAGGTGTGTTTCCTATATGGGCATTTTAGAGTACATTGGGAGGGTTGGTGAAGGCACCTCCTCCAAGAGGATGCCTGTCTCTCTGCCCCATCCTTTTCCTTTCAGTAAAGCAGGCCCCTTTTAGCAAGAAGTGAGCAGAAAGAGCTGTGACCAGACAGAACATGTTGAATAAAAATGAAATCTTGATACTTCAAGTAGTATAGAGGGTCATAAGATTGGCGTTATCTGTTCTCTGATATGGGATTGAACTTTCTGGAGAGGGGTGCTGGAGGGAGTGTGTCTCATTTCTTCCCTTTCATTCTCCCTTTGCCAGATCGGATGGGAGGAAGTAGGGTGTGACCACACCTGGAAGGGGAGATAGAAGTAATTGTAGTGTTGACCCCTTTCCTTGAAAAATCCCAGGCCCCACACGACTTCCCAGAGGCTCTTGAGGTGGCTTCTTTCTCCACCTTCTGGCTTAAGGATTTGGTCGTCGGATGTAGGATTTAAATCTCGCGCGCTTCATATGGATTGGCTACATGAGGGAGTGGTTGGCTAGCTGAATGCCACCACTCCTCCTCACCATTCCCCGGGCAAACGGTTTTCAAATTCGACCAATCGGCGGGCGCGCTCCCTCTGCCGCGGTGCGTCACCGAAAGGTTAACTGCAACCAACCGGAGGCGGCTTTAGAGAAAGGAGCCAATCAGGAGGGCGCGGAGGTGTGCCCCGGTGGCTTATAAGGGCGGCCCCAGGGCGCGCGCGGCAGCAGTTAGACTGCAGCTAGCGGCTGTGTGTTAATCTTTGAAGTGTTCCTCTTCGCTCCTTTACCTCCAGCAACATGTCGGGCCGCGGGAAGACCGGCGGCAAGGCCCGCGCGAAGGCCAAGTCGCGCTCGTCGCGCGCTGGCCTTCAGTTCCCCGTGGGCCGCGTACACCGGCTGCTGCGGAAGGGCCACTACGCTGAGCGGGTGGGAGCTGGCGCGCCGGTGTACCTGGCGGCGGTGCTCGAGTACCTCACCGCGGAGATCCTCGAGCTGGCTGGCAATGCGGCCCGAGATAACAAGAAGACGCGCATCATCCCCCGCCACCTGCAGCTGGCCATCCGCAACGACGAGGAGCTCAACAAGCTGCTGGGCGGCGTGACGATCGCCCAGGGAGGCGTCCTGCCCAACATCCAGGCCGTGCTGCTTCCCAAGAAAACCAGCGCCTCCGTGGGGCCGAAGGCGCCAGCGGGAGGCAAAAAGGCCACCCAGGCCTCTCAGGAATACTGAGGGGCGCCCTCGCCGCTCCCGGCCCTCCCCGTGCCACCACAAAGGCCCTTTTAAGGGCCACCACAACCCTCGAGGAAAGAGCTGAGCCATGGCGGTCAGCTGCCCCCCCTGCTGCTGGCTGTCCCCCACCCCGCGCGGGCTCGCGGTTGCCCGCTCCGGGTCTCTGACTGGGAGCGGCCGTTGAACGACGCTTGGCCAAGCCTGGCCCGGGTAGTGTCCGGCCCTGTGACTCAGCCACCCTGCCCTCTGAGTCGCTGACGGAACGGCGGGGAGGCCGCGGCACCTTCTGGGAGGCCGGGCCTACTTTGACGTAGGGCTGAGGTGAGCGGCCAGGAAGGTGAGTCGCCGGCGGAGCCCCTCAGCGCCGCCTGCTCGTCTGCTGCTCCAGCTCGGTGCTTACGCCGCCACCTCAGACATGGCTCTTGACTTGCAAGCTTTGGTGGGGGAAACACTGATCCTTCAGTTTGTTAGGGCGCCCCCTTTGCTGCCGGATCCCGGTCCTTTCCCAGCCGCTTCCTCCATCTTCACTCCAGGCCTGTGCGGTGCGGCCACGACAGATGCTGTAACGTGCACCCTTTTCCCCGGAGAAGAGCGCCTCGCGGGGAGAGGCTGGGGGAGGGCCGAGGCCTGCCAGGGTTCCGGACCGGCCGTGTGGACTGCAGGGCTTGTGTGGAACTGACGCTGATGGGCAGCCGGGCCTAACTAATCCGCCGCATTGCCCCTCCACCAGCCCAGCACCGACATAGATACCAGCACAATACAGTAATCCCTGTCTGGGCCGAAGGCTTCTGAACTGAACTGGAATTGAGCAGCCAACCCACCCAAGACTAATACCTTAGGTACTGGGGAGTTTAAGATGGGCTAATTTTGTTTATTAAATGGTTGTTTTTTAAAAATGGGTCGCTGTTTCATTTTGCCCCAAAGTGTTGTAGGACTGATGACTTTGTAGACTCTCTTTTGCGGGGGACGTAGGTTAGGGGGTGTACTACCTGATAAAAGGCTCTGGCTAACTGGAGAGGCAAGCTATAGGCTTTTTAGATGGCTCACTTTTGGTGTTCTCTGGGAGACCATTTATTCTGCTTGAAGTGAAATGAGAACTATTGAGGCAGAAAAGAGGGTTCCAGAACTATGGATAGAGGTCCCAACTTTGGAAATAAGGAGTTAAAGGGCTTTGTGTTCGTCCTTATCTTTCCTGCAACCCCAACAAAAACAAAAAATCACCTTCAGAGCTGGTTTATTAGTAGAGTTGGTTACATTCAAAGGCTTGGACTCTCTAAAGAGATGAAGCCCCTACATAATGAGGCAAGGCAGTCCCTCCAAGTCTCTGACCCTGCAGTTCAATCCCCTGGGGTCGTCACTCCCCAGTTAGCAGTGAGAACGGGGCACTGAGGGCTGGGATGTAGGCACTGGACAGCAGCAACTCAGGCACCTGTACTTCACAGACCAGTTAGTGGGCATCATTAAGCTGCCGGGCAACGTCCAAGATGTTCTTGGCTCCTTTGTTCAGCAACAAGTTAGCCAGGCTGATGCCCAGGTTCTCAGCAGCTAGCTGAGCTACTCGTGGAATGTTCTGGGCAGTGATGCCCACCAGCTGTGGATCATCTTCAGGGCCATCTTCATGCTGAGATAAGAACATAAGATTTGGTGAGCACAAAAGGGGAGGTAAGGCAGAATTGTTTCTTAACCCTCTCCCTCACTTTCCAGCCTTGGCACCTGGACGGGGACTCTGATGGTGGCCTGCATGGTCTCTTGCATGCTATCTGAGCCATCCAGACTCCAGACTCCTCCAGTCAGGTACAGCTGAGAAAGAAAATGGTTTGTCTCAGCATATTCTGAGAGGGAACTGCTTAGAAACTTGGGCTCTTGCTGGCAACTCAAGGATGCACAGGGAGAAATGCAACAGTCCTTCCTTCCATGCCCTCCCACCCATCTTCCCTGCTTACTTGCCCATCCTTCACAGCTGTATGTACAGCTACTGGCACACTGCAGCCTCCTTCCTGCAATGAGAAGTTTTCCCTGTGGGCTCCAAAGACCCTTAACACTACCCTGTGACCAGAGCCCTCAGGGATCCGTAGGCCTATGAGGACATGACTGAAAAGGAGGCTAGGGACCCAGATCTGGGTCCTCTATACACAATATTCAAGAATGAGTTGCCGCTAATTACAGAGCATGAATTTTAGAAATCTCCCCACTACTCCCAACTCCCCACCCCTCTACAGGTGAAACACAGGCCCTACCAGGTGCCTCAGGAAGGCCCGTTCAGCAATGCAGCAAAGCAGTGTCTCAGGATCATGCAACACGCCCACCAGATCCAAGACGTCCTTGTCCTTGGCTCGGACTTCCACGCCCAGGGCCCCCTGATAGAAAAACAGCCTAAGACATCAGGCCCAATCTTTCCCCAACCAATGGAGCTAAGGATGGGAACCTGCCCAACTCCACCTGCTCCCCAAGGCCTTTTGGTACACTAGCCTCCCAAGGACTGCCCCTCCCTAGGAACATTTATGCTGGGGAAGTAGATGCAGAGGCAGACAGTTGTGTGACTAGCTTCTTGGTTGAGAACAAAGTGGCATATCAATACATGGCTTCCTGGTCAAGCATACCTGACCCACAGCATACATGCATTCCTCAGGGTGCAGGATCTGTGGGGGCAGAACAGGCAGAAGGGTAGAGATGGGGTTACCTAAAAGCACACAGCAGTGAGATGGGGCTTCCCTATCATATAGAAAGCCTGGATAGGCAAAAGATGGCCTCTGATCTCAATCTTCCAGCCTGGGACTCATTTCAATTGTAGTGTTTTCCAAAGATTAGAGGCAGGGTGTTCAAGAAGAGCACATAGGCAGGAATAGGATAAAAATTAACTGGGGAGGGAATAGGAGCAGCCCCTACCTGCCCCACCCGTTTCTGCCAGCCCATGCGCTGCAGGCCAGCTGCAGCCAAAATGATGGCACTGAACTCCTGCAGCTCATCCAGCTTCTGAAGCCGTGTGTTGAGGTTTCCTCGCTGTGAACAGATGCTAAGGACCAAGAGCATTGTTCCCTCTTCCTGAAATATTCTCTAAATGGTTAACTTCTCATCTTTCAGTTCTCAGCTTAATGGTAACAGCCAACACTGCATATTGACTACATGTCAGATACTAAAGTGCTTTACATCTATCAACTCAATTTTCACAGAAACTCAGGTAGGTTTTATTATATCCATTTTACAGATGAGGAAAATGATACAGAGAGATTAAATAACTTGCCCAAGGTTACAAGATCTCTAAGAAGCCTTTCTTGCCCCCCAAATCTGTGTTTAGATGTTCCAGTTAGAAGCTTCCAGAGAATTCCTTACTTTGCTCATTGGAGCACTTGGCACATACTATTTTGGTTTTACAAAACATACCACATATTCATTGTAAAAATCAAAACAATGTAGTAGAATATAAAATAAAAATGAAAGTACCCTACATCCTCCCCTCCACCCCCCTGGAGTATCCTCGTCTTCCTCCTGGGCTGTTGCACCCCCCTCTAAAAGGATACAATACTCTTGAACTCCAGATGTGGAAACTTTCTCTTCAGCTGGGCTGCTCTCCGTAGGGAGCTGGTTCCCACCACACTGCTCAGACAGAGTTTAAAATTAGATTTAACCCTAGGCAAGCACTGTTCCTATCTTCCTCCTAACCCTCCATCGTCTGTGCATATACCACCAAGTTGCCTATCCAGGCCCCACTCACCTCTTATCTGGTAAGGTTTCTAGGGTCTTGCCAACAAATTTTGGGTGAAAGACAACAGCATCATTGGGGTTCTCTCGTCTGTGGGTGGAGGGAAGGTCAGAATGAGGGAGAGATCTCAGTTCAGGTCACTGAAATTTCAGTCTCTATTGACAGCCAACTAACTGGCAATTTTTGAGTTTTCTGCCATGCTTGATACTCCTCCAGGCAAGGAGACAGCGCTAGAGGCAGAGGGCCATCCCAAAGGGAAAAGCCAAGATTAACATGCTGCTTACCCACCCTACCCAGGCCCTGACTCGCAGGGCACTTACTTGCAGATGGCTCCAATGGTGAAGCCCGGAGGAAGCACAGTGGGCAGGTCCTTCAGGGAGTGAACAACCAGGTCCACTCTAGAGATGGGATGTGGCAAGGAGAAAGGGTCTGGGCAGCAGGCCCCTATTTCTCCACCTACCCCCC